GGAGAGAGAGAAAATAGGAATGAGTGAGAGAGAGAGAAAGAGAATGGGGGACAGTGAGAAAGAGAGAGAGAATGTGGGTGAGCAACGGACAGAGAGGGAGCGTGAGAGAGAGAGAATCAGGGTCAGTGAGAGCAAGAGAGAGAGAGGATGTGCGAGAGTGAGAGACAGACAGAGGGAGAGAAAGAATGGTGACAAGTTGAAGCACCTCAGGACATGTGTCTCTGACTCCATCCTCTCTCCCCGACATGGCCTGTTCCTAGTTTACTTCAGTCTGGGGGTGCGAGGGTAAATGTTAAGGACAACAGCTCTTGTGCATTGCTGGTGGCTCCTTTGCAGCGTGGAGGTAAGTTCCCTTTTGGGACGACTGTGTATGTCTGATACAAACAGCCTTGGCTTAGCACAGGCAGGAGCTCTGGATTCAATCTGTTAGTGTGTGGGGACTGGATTCACACATGCACCCAGACTGGCTCAGGACCATCCTTCCCTAAAGAATGACATTGAACATTTGGCACACGGAAGGTGCAGAGAGCAGCCTGGGGGCAACATGAAGAGCCACCCAATCTCACAGGCTGCTCTCTCTGATGGACAATGTTTGAAACTTTAAGTTGATGGGTTCTCCAGAGTTTAAAAGAATCTGGGTGATCAAACAGAAACAAAAAGGATGATTGCTGGGTACCCCAGTCAGTGCAGGAAGGGTGTTCGAACCTGCCTGGAGCTCTGGAAGCCTCTCTGAAGGACTGTGATCGGGTGCAATTCTTTAACTGATGGTAAATATTTTCAAGTCTCAAACAAACAGGGCTCTGGGCGGCCAATGATTAAGCAGGTTACAGACAGGAATCAGTACATTTCCAGACATTCCAGATATGGAGGGATGAGACTGCAGCGGTTCAAGAAGACAGCTGAGCAGCAGCTACTCCAGGGGCAACTAGGGATGGGCAATAGATGCTGGGCCCAGCCAGCAATGCCCATGTCCCAGGAGTGAATACAAAAAAGTGAATCATCCACGATTGAGCTGAACGATGAAGCAGGGGCTGAAGGACCGGCTTTTATTTCCAGTGATTCTGTAAAGTCAAACACCACCAGAGTTCCCAGCAGTGTCACAACACAACAACCAATTAAAAACAGACTGACACATACCTGGCCAGCTGGGAGCCAGTCATCCGTCGATAACTGATGAAGACATCGGGGTCTTCAGTGGATGGCAGCTGCAAGACTTCACCCCCACTGGGAGGCAGCGACTCTGCAAGATCCGAACACATTCCCATCAACCAGCACCCTCACTACCCACAAACCCCCACACTCACACCCATCCACCAACTGCCGCACTGTCGGAGGGTCAGTACGGAGGGAGTGCCGCACTGTCGGAGGGTCAGTGCT